ATCAATTAAAACTTCAATTACTTCAAAAGTTTCCTTTTGTTTATATTCATTATATCCAAAATCAGTTAAAATGTCTTCAGTTTCATTAATATCATTCTCTTCTACATAATTAAGAGTATCCTCATCCATTCCAAGCATTTTTAGAAAACGATCATTGTTGATGAAACTGGCTTGATTTCCCCTTGCCAATTTAAAATTCCAGGAATATCGATGCCGCTCGATAAAAGCTGATGCAATATATTTTTATTTTGGGACATCAGTCCGTACATGACAATATTCCAGCATTGATTTTCAGTTAATCAGTTAAAGTAGCAGCTAAATTCCAAATTAATTTTTCATCGAGCTTCTTCATTCACATATCTGCGTTTATTTCTATTCCAAAAGTTCGGAAATATTTTAATTCCTCAGACGTGAGACTAAAGAGACCATATTTGATCACCTTTATAATACTTTGTAATGACATGCCTAAAATTTGTTTAATGTAATAAATAATAAAACGCCGACACATATAAAATCCCTACGATAGAATTTTGATACCTTTTTCTTTTAATTTCAGTAAAACGCATTCATTATATATTCCATTATGGACGATAATACGCAATGATTCATCAAGTGACGCATCACGTTTCATATTAGTGCACACGGATAAAGGTTTAATTATACGTCATATAAGTTTGTTCTTTAATAGGCCAAGCAATCTTTTATTACTACATCCATCATAGATGAATATTCCTTTATTAGTCAATTTTATATGTGAATCAGTTTCACGCGATGCCTCTTCGTCTGTTACATTTTGTATATTTGACATTTTTTTTAGATAAACGTAAGCTAAGTATAAAGATATGACAAATATCACGAACGTGTCAAAACCTAGGTCAGTATTTAGGCAATTGTTATGAATCAAAAATCATTCATTAGTTGACATCTCTTTTATACTAAAACAATATCATATATCCAGAAAATTTTTTATTTACAAATGAATAAATAATATCAAATGATATCTATTCTATACAGAATATTCCGGAATTTTTGCACACGGTTAGTTTTTAAATGAGAGCAATTTAATGCTAATGCTCCAAATTATGCATGAACCAAGAGCAATAAGCATTGAATATATACACTTACTTTCTTTAGATTTTATAACAATTACACATATCTAATATTTGCAATATAATTTAATAAGAAAAATGTCCTGATATTTCTAAAACAAAAATTAATTGCTTTTTCCGACACAAGGAATCCATTGTGCATTTTGCATGCGCAAATTCTGGAACATCCTGTATATTACAACCTCCATAGTTACATTAAAATCTCTACAAAACATGCTCGCCGTTTTCTAAATACAATATATCCTTCCAATAAGAGATATATATGTTATAGATCAAAATGCAGCACATAATGAACAAAGCGAAGCGGCGTTCTTTTTAGATATATTTTTACAATATAGTACACAGTTTTCAGATATAACAATGATATGTGTCAAACGTATTGTGCCAAAATATAAAATGACAAAGCAAGCAGAAAGACTATAAAGATTTGATTGACTTGTACAAAAATGTCAGATTAACAAACACTACTGACTTTAATCCATATAAATGGCTTGTTATTTTGTCTACGAATGTTTCTTTGATATTTATGAATTATGTATTTACACGAACACAAAATTTTGCTTGACATCATAGATCTTTATGCCAGATATTCAACTAATTTAATAGTTTCTAATGTGTTATAGTTTGTACATGTAGATGTTAACATAAGCACAAGCCTACTCAGATAAGTTTTATAAGATCTGATTGTATAGCTGAAATGGTGTTGTATTATTTTAACTCTCTCTGTGTCATGCTCAGGATCCTTCTTCCATTTACTTTTTGTGCAGTCTTTAAAGTACTTGACACCCTGTATACACTCATATCGCTAACACTTTCATAGTTGATTACAACAAACTGCAATAACAATTTGAGACATCCTGTTGTTGATGATTGTTGGTTAGTTGCATTCCTCTTTTTCCCAATCGATGCCTTGTACCACTCATATTACCGTTGTCATATAACCGTAAAGAATGACTATCCCAAAGACCAGGGGTTTGTATTATCTATTACACACAAAATCATATTTTATCCACAATGTCAAATAAACAAATGTATAAAACAATAGATCTGTTTCTTATTCCTGCACTGAATTATACTAAAACTTTCTTTCTTGCTTTCACCAAATTTCAGATATAATCTATTTTGATTTAAATACAATAATTATATTCTATATATTCTACCTCAATTATAAAGAACAGACCAAATAATAACAATTTTTTATGCTTTTGTATTAATTTTGACATACTTTTTGTACAAGTTCCTCGAAGCAACACTTTACACCATCCGCCGTTTTCGCACTGCTTTCAATATACAAGGTCTGATGCCGTCTAGCAAACTGCATGCCTTCATCAGTGCTTACTTCCCTATTTGGCAGATCAATCTTATTGCCTACTACCATCTTGACGATGTCCGTTTTATTGCAGTACGTATTCAACTCATTGAGCCACGTTTCCAGTTTCACAAAAGTATTTCGATCCGTAACGTCATACATTAGAATAGCGCCTTGGCCATCTCTATAATAACTCGGCGTTAAAGTGCGAAATCGCTCCTGACCGGCAGTATCCTGTAACAAATAGCATATTCTTAATAAATCTGGAAAGTATAATACGTTGCACAAACTATGTCTCTTGTTATAATTACAAACCCAAATTGCAAGTTTTACTATATTGCCATCGATGGTGATCTGTTTGGTCTTGTAGTCCATCCCGACCGTGCTCTGCATATTTTCATAAAACTCGTCCTCGGTGAACCTCAGGAGTATACTGGAAACGACGTAGTATCATAGAGTTAATTCTCAAACGTCATTATAATAATGAGAAATGAGTCAAGCATTTTACGAATTACCTTGATTTTCCCACATTGGATTCGCCTATCATGAGAATCTTCAGTATCGTTAAATAGTCTTCTTGATCCATAATGATCCGCGGTTCCACTGTACTCACGATATTAATAAATACTAATGTTAACAATGAAAAAGAAAATAAGAAATTAATATTTCTCCTTCCTTGCGTATCACGACCAAGGTATGGACACTTTATATACTACTGGACACTCCTATATATAAAAACGAAATTGTATTTCTGCGCCACCTGGACGAATAGGTACACTTTTAGCAACTAAAATTCATTTTCTGTCGATAATAGTCGGTAAGGCACTGACGAGGTACTGTTAAAGACGGACGACCATAAGAAAATTTTCGTGACTGACGACGAAGCTGTGAGTGGGTTCCGTTAGCGCACAATGCGATAGCACACATTCACACACATCAGCCGCTGCTTGGGAATTTTCTAATGGACCACCAATCAGAAAATTTTATATTTAATTAGCCAATCAGCGTCGTATACCCTCGGATCCCTCTCGAAGCTGTGAAGCTGTGAAGAATATCGAAAATATTTCTGATTGGTCGAAATCTATTGCCTGTTCTCTATTGCCTGTTCCTGTTGCCTGGCATTGTGCAAGGACCTTTAGTCTTAACTTTAAATTCCGGTCTACAAGAGATGATTGAAGGGTCGGCAGGAGTAACGGGCTAACTCCGATTTGATCTAAAATCATTATCTACTCCTTATTTACAGCAGATATGTATCTGTACTCAATTATATTTTATCTTATAGAAACGATGTTTCGTGATGAAACTTTGCTAAGATAATTTCTTTTACAATTACGGAGGTACAGAGCTTAGAGAGCCAATTTTGCAATTTAGCTCTTAAATAATTAAAATAAATGTAACTATCTACTTCTTATTTACAGTGCAGATATATATTTGAGTACACCTATATATCATCGTAGAAGCAATATTCTGAGCCTTTTTCTACGTATTTTTTATAAAATTATGACTTGCTACAGAGCGAGATTTTGCAATTTGGCTCTTAAAAAAAAATTTACAATAGATGAAAATATTTGCACCTTATTGTCTTATAGTACAAATCTATTTACACATAAAATGAATTATTTATTTTCACACATTTTCTTACAAAAATCGCTCTGTAGCTTAAGTCTTAAGCCATAAGAAATGAATGAATCATAGTCAATGATCATAATCAAAAAAATAAGAGAATAATCGACTAATTGGTCAATTTCTTATGGCTTAAGGCTTATGGCTTAAATCACCTATTGTAAATCTATTGTAAACCACTAAGATCGAAGCATAAACCAGCTCTGAATCATATATCATTCAGTATATCATTCGAATATGATTAAAACATTATTATAAAAACAAAAATATCATAATAATATAAAATATTATGTTTATACAAATATTATATAAATATAAATATTATATAAATATTATATTCATAAAAATATTACAAAATATTATAATAAATATTATAAAAATGTTATAAAAATGTTGCAAAATATTATAAAAATGTTGCAAAAATTTTGTATGTAGTGGTCTTTTATCCTTAGCCTATACGATTAGTTACCTTTTATCCTTAGCATATACGGATTTAGTTACGAGAAATGGCATTCATCATCGCGGCCCTCTATCAGCAATGCCATGTATTACTTGCGGATGAATGACTTTTTTTTAAATTTATTATTAATTACAAATAGAAAAAGAACAACTTCTTTTAGGACAACTTTGATTTAACTTAACAGAAATTAAAATGTGTACTTCTATAAAAATTTTTTTTAATTACCTGAAAGAAATTTTTTTTTAAGTTCATAACGCTCATCTGTGGTGTTTGAGTGTCTACAAATATATGTATAAGTGTATATATGTAAAGAATTTGGATGAAACAAAATAATGAAATTGTTCTACACTTATAAAAATGAGAAAAAACTGTCTCCTCCTCCCCTCCCCTTTCAGCCCTTAACAGTAGATAGTCGTAAAGACATGAAACTTATTCAGGCAAGAAAATACATGATTTAACGGTTGAATAGAAAAAAATATGCCTTTATGTATAAAATTCAAAGATAACTTTAATTTTAGTCTATTTTTACGAATTTGATAAATATAAGACAAGTTACATTTTCACAATTAAATAATAATAAAATTACATGCAAGATAAAGTTTCGTTGTCAGAACGTTATCTTTCATGTTTATTAATATAAAGATGGACAAAGACAAGGATAAAAATGAATAAAATAAAAATGACTGAACACGTTTCTAATTTCTACTATTGACACTATATTGACGTTATCATGGAATTTTAGTCAAGAGTCTTAAAATTAGCTAAGAAACAAATACAAAAAGGACTTATTACATTCAAAATATTCTAAAAATTTTCTATTACACACAATACATGCGACAAAATAAACATCTTAAAGGTAAAAATAAATTTCTAAATTTTATTGTATTTGAATCGGTTCAGATGGTATCTCAAATAATTTTGTTTAATTTACATCCATACAGGTTTTTATCTTATCGTTTTATTTATAATTTACCAATAGTTTTTTCAAATTTTAGAATTTTATAATTTACGTGACGCTGAGTAAAAATTTCAATGAGTACAAGGAATTTTCCAGAAATCATATTTTAGCTTACAAGAACCGTGGAAAGTTTATTGCTTTTTATGACTTTTAATTGTTGTTATCATATTTATAGCCCTCCATGATTTTTAATAAATAAAGCACTTCAAAATTCATTACGTGGAGATATCTGCACTTCAAGTTTTATTCAGAGTCTCTTGACAATTTTTCTTTAGAATCCAAATAATTATTCAATTGTTAATGAAATGAAGATGCAATAGAGCTACACATCTCTGTTCCATTTTATAAAATAACGGAAAAGTAGAATAATTAAAGAAAAGACTTTAGAATTAGATAAATATTTTAATAAAATTTCTATAAGTAAATTCATGATTTCAAAATATCATTGATTTATATAATTATATATATCACCATAAAATATCAATTATTTATAGTTTATATTGTAAATACTTCACATAAATGATATTACAATACTTTACAAAAGAAGATACAAAAGAAAAGCATATTAGGTACTAATGCGTGTTATAAAATAAATTAGGACGAGATAATTATATACATATATATAAACAATTAATTATTAAACAATTATTAAATAAATATTTCTTAAACATTTAAAATTTAAAACATTTAAATTTAAAACATTTAAATAAAAGAAATAAAGAACAAAAAATCAAAAATTAAAAATAAAGAATTAAATATTGATATATAAGGCTGTACACACAGGAAATATTAGGAAAATAGAAAAAAAGAAGAATAGAAATAAATATTAAATTTTAAACATTCAAAAATTCAAAATAAAATTAAACGTAATGCACAATGGTTACAAATATAAAATATAGTCATATTCTATATTAAATTTTGTTTTTCTATATATTATTATTATTATATTCATAGATGTAAGATTGATACATGAAGAGGTAGTAAGCCTTGAAATCGCTTAAAAATGGAAAAAACGGATAAAATATTTTTCGTAATACTACACTTTGAATGAAATTGGAGTATTTCTATTTAGGTAGATTTAATGTATCACACTTGGAAGCCCCTTTGTAACATTGTAACTCGAACTCTACCTATACAGCTTACAATCTTTGTTAGGTACAGAAATTTTTTACGATGTTTTCTAAACGATTTATATCCCATAATTTACAATTTCGATTACGGTTACGGATGTATAATTATCTATTGTAAAATTTAATTGCATAAAAAAAATACAAGTATAATAAGTTGCATATTATAAAAATGTCATGTTTATTGAAGAAAAAGTTAATCACAATAAATGGGAGATTTTTTTTGAAACTTGTAAATTTATTCTTATCTATCTATGGAATACTTTATAGCACGAATTAAAGGATTTATAGATTTATAGAATAAAAGTGTACTATTCTGTTTCAAGTTTCAAGCAACAGCAATGGAGCGTGGAAATTTCCGCACAGCAATGGAGCGTGGAAATTTCCGCATCGCCATATACATATGGCTTCGAACCATTTAATGAGCTGCTATTAGCGATTTTCCAATTCCTCCAAATAAATAATTCTTAGGCGAAGTTTACAATAGATCGCAAAATCGCAATAGCGGTAATATTAGCTTGGCAATAACCAATCAGAACGCTTTGATTGACTATCGTGAGTATGTTATGACCGCTATTATAACTTTGCGATTTTACTGTAGATTCCGCTTTATAAAATATTTAGCAAACCCGAACCGAACCCGAATAAATAAAACTGGACCATAAATTGAACCGAAAACCGGAAAAAAAATTTTCGGTCCGATCCGACTAAAATAATAGTTACGATCCGATTATCGGTTTTGGTTTCGATCCGGATTTCTAACCTATGCATATAATAAACCAACAATATTACAGCAGGGATGCCAGATTGTGAATGTTGCAGCCACGCTGCAGCACGTGGAGGGGATAGCACACACTGGCACACACCTAGGGCGTTTTTCAGCAAGGGGTACAAAAGAACACAATGTAACACAATAAATCATTTCATCCTTGTAACATTAACAAACAACAAGAATAAAATGATTCACTATGTTACACTGTGTCTCTTGTTGGAAAACGTCTCTAAACGCTTGTACAGACGAGCGCTCCCACTAGGGGTGTGTGCCGGTTTATCCCCTCCACGTGCTGCAACGTGGTTGCAACGTCCACAATCTGGCATCTCTGTATTACAGCAATATTATATTTCCATAGCAATATTACAAAGTGAAATAGTATAAATATGGCTGGAATATTACAGAGATATAATGTAATTACAGTAATATAATGATGACATATTACAATTGTGTTATTGTAATATTTATGTAATATTCATGTAATATATATTGCGAAGAATTAAATCATTTTAATATTTTTGTATTACAAATATATTGCATAATTCCTTGAAAAATTGTGATTACATAAAATATTACAATAATTTAGTACAATAAAGATTATTGGACTGTACTTTTATGGTTAATATTGTTTCATAGTAATCGGTTTCATATTACAAAGATATGCTAATAATTTTTACTATATTAACATATTTTAAAGAATGACAATCGAAGAAATTATGGAATAAGACAATCACAATATATTTATAATTTGTTATTACGTAGATTTATATCTGAGAGCGAGCATGATACAGTGGATAGCGCACTAGCCTACTGTGAAATCTAGAGATCCCAGATTCAAGACCCGATAAAACCAAAAAATATTTTCATACGCTCGTATGTTCTCTCGATGATCTGGTAAATCACGAGAGCATTTTCTCCTTAAAAAAGTGTGTCGTTCAAAACCGGCGTTAAATTGTAGATCCCATATTCCTGTATATTACATTACCTGTGTGCGTACCACAAGTATATGAAGAGGGAGAAAGAAACAGGCTTTTTAAGCCTATATATGGAAGAAGAAGAGAGATATCTTCTTCTCCTATATATAAAAAAAAAAGAAGAATAAGGTTTATATCTCAATTTCGATATCAAAAGATATATATATATATATAAAAGATAGCATTAATTCTAATCTCGTTAGAAGATTGTTTCTTGAAAGATCCTATATTGATCCTTTATTCTTGAAACATATCGTATATAAAAATTTGATATTATACGTTACCAGGGAAAGTTAAAACTAGTAAAGGTAAAATTAGTTACAGTTTTTTCCTTTCAAAAAATAACTAGTTACCGTTACAAGTTATCAATTTTAAAAAAATAACATGTTACGGTTACAGTTACTCAAAAAAATAACGACTCGTTACTTTTTAGTTATTTCTCTGTTAACTTCCTGTAATAATTTGTGCATTGCTATTTTAAATATAAAAATCTTATATTTGTAATATATTTCTTATAATATATTTCTAAGGACTAATTGCATTAGGACTAATGACATTAAGCAAGACTTAAAACTTTAAATTTATTATAGCCGAATTTATTATATATCGAATTTGATTGATTCTTATTTACATCTAACCAATCACATTAAGACTGAGTTCAGAAACGTCATCCGACACATCATTTTATTCTTGTTTAACATTCAGTGAACAACAAGGACAAAATGATATTGGAGTATTCGAATGATGTTTTCGAACATAGCCTAAAAGTGTGAGAAGCAGACAGTCAGTGCTGCGTTCAACTTAAGCAGTTTGCAACTGTGTAAAATTCTCAAATGTAATTAGGTTATACATTTAGATCCATGAAAAACTAAGGGCAAAAATCTATCATATCAAAGATTTTTACAACAGTTACAAAACTGCTTTTCCTGCTGAACGCAACCATTGTATCATTTTATCATTAAATGTAAAACAAGAGTAGAATGACACAATAGCTAAATGACAAATAAATTTGAAATATATAAAGTAACGATGAAAATAACTATTAAATTAATTATTAGTTACTAAAAAATGTAATTAAGTTAAGTTACAGTTATAAATGGAAAAAAAAAGAAACAAAATTAAGTTATTGAAAAAAAGTAACTATAACTTTATTACAAGTAACAAGTTACTTCCCAATCCTGTATTATTATAGGATTTTCTTATAGTATACGTGATATAAAATTAAATATTGATTTTCAATACTGGCAATAAATATCGGAATGCTGTCATAGGCGGTATTTATAATTGATGCTTATATTTAAGACCGTCTTAAGTAGAATCTTAAAATGTCATAAATATTAGGGTCTATCTAGACAAACTTGTATAGCAGCATAACCATATATAAGGGAAATTATCCAATCGCATGTTACATGTGTCCTTATGATAGAAATACGATTAGATAATTTTCCTTATGCATATGGCTATGCCAGTTTGTCTGGATAGACTCTTATAACCAATTACGATTGCCGTCTTTAATAAATTAATCACAAGAAACGCCGACTAACTAACTTTAGGCTCACTCAAATTTAAACTCTAGAAAACGTGAATCGAATTTAAGCAAGAGATCCTTTTTCTTTTTTACTTCTTTTTTTAAAGAAATGAAAAATTTCTAACGACGGGACCCAGAGAAGTTGTCCCGTGAGGAGAGGAAAAGAGAAAATGAAATTTGAAGTATGTTGAATGGTCAGTTTTCAACATCGTTTTCTCAGAATCATCTTTTCCATATTATTAGGGGAATTTTACGTTACAATAGAACGTTACAACAGAACAATTCAAAGATCAAAAGAGAGGTCTCTAGTCTAAAGCATGTAAAAATGAAGCATATGAACCGCATTGGGGGATATAGAAGAAATCAAGGAGAATAAAAAAGTCTGATATCATTTTGTGATATCTGCTCTAATTTTCGAGTTATAAAATAAAATATTCGAATCAATGAACGGTTACGCTACCTGTACCATAGTATGTGTATGACCTATTGTGCCTAGCTTGTTGGCGCGTGATGAGAGGGAGATGACGTGTAGCCTTCTGAACAAAGGACAGCCTTAGATTTTGCCACACAATATACACACTATAAATCCAATGTGCTATTTTTTTTATATCTATCTTGACGGTTAAAACTTCCTCTTTGATGCTTTCTTTCTATAATAATAATTTACGTGTCTATTCGATTCAAAATTTGAAAAAAAATTAAATTTAAAGAATTACTATTCGAAAGATATTTTAATCTAGAATATACACTTTAATCTAGAATATACTCTTAGTTTCTAGAATATAGTTTTCTTTGTTGGATTGGAATGCTCCGAATATACAAAAGAATTTCTACGTTACCTGAATACTTGAACACTTGACGCTATTTCTGCTTGAAGAAACCATCGCTTAGAGAAACATATTCTTGAGATATTCTAAATGCTATAAGAGTATGCAAAAAAAGTTTCAATTTTTTTTAAAGTTTTAGACTAGGAGTCATTCTTAAGATCATCTTAAATACGATCTTAAAATAATACGACCATTTTATTGACTAAACAGAAGTTTCAGAACGATCTAAGACCTGACTAAGACAATTTTAAATATAAAAATTGATTATGAAGGCCATATCTTGAATCCTTTTTTTATCGATAAATAAGCTTTTAAGAGTGACTCACAGTTAGTTAGAAGGCTTTCCAGCGAGAAATGATGATAGAATCGACATTGAATTAACATCAAATCGATGTCGATTCCATTATCATCTCTTACTGAGTTATAAATATAATGATTATTTGTTCTAAAGAACAGTATTTTTATTACAGATAGCAATTTTTTTTAGATTTATTTATTTATTATTTTCTCAAAATTGAATTTTGTCTTTTATTTTAATCTTTTATTCTTAATTTTATTTAATCCTTCATTTCACAAAAAAATTTTTTTCTAATTAGATTAATATCTAATGTTATATCAATAAATAAAATTTTAAATTAAAATATATAAAATATAAATATATATAAATACAATTTGTCTTGTATTAATTATATTTTTAATTTTTTAAATTAAGTTATACAAATTAATCTGTTTTTATTTTTATTTTGAACTTTTTTATTCCAAATTTAAATCAAGAAGTCAAACCAATTAAAAATGATCAGAAAATTACATATTATCTCATTTTGATACGCTATCCAAGATAATTTCGTAATGTATTCCTGACAATCACAATTTGAAAACATGTAGGAACAGGATTCTAAAATTTTCAATTTTGTTCTTTATTTTCTTGAAGAAAATATGGTCACTATATTTAAACGCCATTTTTAGAAGCACTTTTGGCTGGATTCCGTAAAGCGCATATGCACGCATATGCGCTTTATGAAACCCAGCCTTTATCGATAAAAAAGAATTCAAAGTATGGATCATTATCAATTTTTTTTCAAGATGGTCGATAATGTCTTAAGATGTTAATACTTCTACAGTATATGTTTACAGACAAAGAAAGTTGTTCAATCTATCGTAAGGACTAATATTAAAACAAACTTGCATAGCAGCATAACCATATGCATAAAAAAAATTACCAAATCGCATTTTTATCATAAAGACACGTGTAAAATGCGATTGGATAATTTTCTTTATGCATATGATTTTTCAGCTAGGCAAATTTGCTTGGATTGGACGTTACCTTTTGTAGATTTTTAAATTTAATCGTTCAAGGATATTCAAGAATATTCAAGGACTGAGTATTCAAACGTATTCAACGGTATTCAAGGACTGAGTTCAGAAATATTGAATCATCATTTTACCTGATATCATTTTATCCATGTTTTTCATCGAATATTAAACAAGATAAAATGATACCTAGGTGTGTTATTTCTGGATCCGCCCAAGGTAACCTATAAGATGATATAAATTGTACTTCGAAGTGTTTTATGATTGGTCAAGAATTCTTTATTTAGATTTTGATCATTCAAATGTTTTGTAAGATGTCAAATTAATTAAACCAATAGGATGGTGAAACCTTCCCATAATTTCTTTTCTTCCAATCCAATGCAATCTTCTCAATATCTTCCAATCAATTGATGAGCTGCAGGAAAAGGAAGTTTCATTCATTGGTTGAGAGGTTTATCGTCGATTAAGACTATATAAGAATTGATAACTTTGAACTTGCGTTAATAGAGGAACGTGGTTTTGAATTTGAGCTCGCTGTCGTGATTCAGGGTCGGTCTCACCAACTCTAGTTAACACTATCGGTCAGCAGAATCGCCAACAAGGCAAGAGATCCAAAATCTTGGTCTCATACTTCCTAATCTAGTCACGACAAAGAGAAAGTGTGTAGAGTGTGAATTATAATAAGGTAAGTATTATATAAGTGTATGCTTTGAAATATAAATACAAATGTTTACAACAAGAAATTAGGTTAGAAATGACGAAATTTTTATTTTTACAGTTGGCAGCTCTCAAAAATTTAACTCGCTGTTTAACTTAATCAAAGTTGGTGAGACCGGCCCTCACTGGCCGTGTTCCAGAATTTACCATCAGTGCTGATAATACATAATAGAAAACGTCACGTGAACTATAGATTTTCAGTACTGACAGTGAATTTTGGAATATTGCCACTATCGGGAAATGTGGTACGACATCTCTGATCGCGAAACGGCTGATATATACACGCACGCACGCGCATCACGGCACCGTGGCACAGTGGTCAACGCGACGGTGCGGTTACAATACGGTCCCCGAGATTGTGTTGGTGATTAATCAAAAAAGGCTGTTCGTGAAAATGGCCGCAGGACTCGATCCTCGGCTACATCGTCCGAAGAGTTTGTACTGTTTGTGCGTGGCGGCGGTAACCGAGAGATTTCGCTTCTTCAAACCGTACCTGGTCGACCTGCCCAAGAGCGTTAGATTCGACCTCTACTATCAGGTAAAAAAAATTGTCAAGCTGTCGTCGGCGGCAACGCGAGTACAAAGCGCGCACGGTGTGACAGCCGCGTCTTATTTCTCCGTCTTCGCCGTCGGGGCGACGCGACGCGACGAGACGAGACGAGACGAGACGAGACGAAAACGACACAAAAACAAGACGGAGACTGGCATCGTCTTGGCGTCGTCGGACGCACGCATCGACGCCGACGCCGTCGACCACCGCTCTCGGTCTCGCGTGTTGCGATCGCCGCAGGGTCTGATGTTTGCGTCGCGATATTTAAGACAAACTCGCCGCGTACGGAATAACCGACTCCGTCTGTTAACCGACTTCAGTTGGTCGTCGGTGGTTTAATGGTAAGATTTGATATTTTTTCGATCTCTAAGGCTTTGATCTCTTTTAGTTGTACAAAGAGAGAAGATTATGTATATTGGGAGCGGAATTAAGCGATCTGGAGACTTTCTCCAAGATGCTCAAGGTCACCAATCGTCGACTACACCTCCTGAGAATATTCCAGGTGAATTTGTTATAAAGAAATCGTTAAGGATAACTTGAACCAATCTCCGATTAATTTGATTATCAAGTAATTCAATCGGCAGAATTGTTGACAGCAAAACTTCAAACTATAATTTGTCATCCCTAACTGAGGGCTTTTCCATATGTTGAATAACATGATATTAATAATTCAATTGATATTAATAAAATAACAGTTGACAATAATGCAAATATTATTTGATAGGTGATTGTTGATTGAATTACTTGAAATTTTATTGAAATTGTAAAGAAGTTGTTATACTTTTTGACATTAGGAAATATCTTGTATTATATTGTATTTTTTTTTTATTTAAAGGCACCGATGGATCATAAAATAAGGATATCGGCACATTTGGTTATCAATTATAATATCTATTGTTTTCAAGAGAGAGAGAATTCTTTATCACAGGAGAAGTTGATAAATTTGGGTTTAAGACTAGGTGGATTTCTCAGTGATGCCGGCTGGTATTCAGAAAGTGAACAAGTGTTGTTGACTTGCAAACAATTATGCTTAGCTCATAATGAAAATCCTAAGGATTGGTGTAGAACATTAGACTGTTGTCACAAGTAAAAGCATTGACTATATATTATATAGTTTTAATTAATATTTGCAAATATTAAAATAATTGTATATCTCGTTCGTATCTTAGGCTGTTACATGCACAAGCAGCATACTGTGATTTCGAAGGGGCTGCAGAAACTCATCAACTTGCCTTGGAAATGATAGAAAAGTTGAAAAGCATGCAGTACAATAATAGCAATCATGCTGCCCTTTATGCAGAATTCAGTGTATTATTTTACATACGCAGTGAATACGACGAAGCCTACAAGTACATACTGATTTAATATACTGATTAAACTTGTGCTTGATCTCTACTAAACTGCACTAACTTTTTTTCTTGCTTTCTTTCTAATTCTTATAAATTTATTTATTATTTTAAATACAATGAATATATCATTTCCACATAGATTAGATATATTTGCTCGACGAATTACAATCATCTCATATTATTTCATTTAATTTTTTAACTTATTTTAATCAATTTCTTATAAACTGAAGCATTAGAATTTGGATTGCAATCAAATGGAAACTGTTGATCATGATTTATTTGCTCTTGTACCATGTGATTCATATGACCTATGTGTCACCTTTATTTAATGTTTATATAATAAAGATATGTAAATCATTCAAATATGAGTATTCAATATGAGTCGAATCAGATATTTGATTTAGATTTGAATCTCTATGATTTGAACCTAAATTATTCGAAATTTTCGAATTTAAGAGATTCAAGTATAAGTTACAATATATTGATAATCTTATAAATTATCTTTCTTGTTAAAACAATCAGTGCTATCGTTTTCTATATATAAATACTAATATTGTCTGCTATTTAGATGGAGTTTAGAAGCATTAAGACAATTGAAATCATCACTCCCCGCGGGGGTCATTGTTGACGTTTTGAGACAAGCGGCGAAATCGTGCGTGGTGAAACGTGAATTTCAAAAAGCTGGCTTATTAATCAAGGAAGCTGTATATCTTGCAAGAGAAATATTCGATATAGATCATCCAAAATATAGCGACGTTCTCATCGATTATGGATTTTTCTTATTAAACTATGATAGCATCAGCAATAGTGTAACTATATACAAGGTATTTATCATCAGACATCTATTATGATCTTTGTTATCTTCTATAGAAACAATTATAAAACATTCCGTTTTGCATTTCAGACTGCGTTAGATATTAGAAGATCGATTTTCGGCAGGACTAATCTTCATGTTGCTCTGGCACACGAAGACTTGGCTTACGCTCTCTATGTACATGAATATAGTTCTGGCAAATTTGAAGATGCGAGGTAAGTCGATTTGATATTGTATTCGATTTATCGTTTATTGACGGTGCGAATTAACTTAATTTCGCAGTGATCATGCGGGAACAGCTATAGATATCATGGAAAAACATTTACCACCAAATCACTTAATGCTCGCAAGTGCTAGAAGAATAAAAGCACTTATTCTTGAAGAGATCGCTATAGATAACGCATCCACACCTTTGTCGGAACAGAATCTGTTACTCAAATCCGAGGGTCTTCATTTATCTGCCTTGGAGATGTCGAGAAGCGCATTTGGTGAGAGAAACGTGCAAACAGCAAAACATTATGGAAATTTGGGCCGCTTATATCAGAGTATGCGGAAATTTCAGGTATATAAAGGATGACATAAATGCTGTATAATTATTATACTTTCAATATAACATCATGTAACAAAGAAAAATTTTTTTTCATTATTTTACTCTGTTTCAATCATTTTAATATTATTATTTTCGGATTCAACTAACAATAATTTTACATAAAAATATATAATTTTTACACAATCACAAAATTTTATTTTACATCGCGGCGAAAATAATTTTTTTAAACTTTAAATATATATATATGAAAAACGTAAATAATTGTATCTCGTGGAATGCACTTATGCTGGATTTCTCTTCTTTTTTCACGAATATATTCATTTTTCATGCATAAAAAATTTTTTGTTATATGATATAATAATATATTAAATATATAAGTTTATATAATAATACAGAAGTGTTCCATTTGAAATATCTTAATTTTAATGGTCTCTCAATAAGTGTTATTCTAATCATTATTTATGAATCGTATAAAATTTTCTTTACTTATCTTTACTTATCTTTACGTTTCTGCCTGAATTTTTTCTTCATTTTCTGCAATGTTTTCGCAGTTATTGTCAGTAAAATGAAAAAGCGTCATCACAACAAAGGATGTAACCTTTCCATCAGTTCTCCACTTTTTCATCTAAGATATTTTATCAACCTCTTCCATGCATTCCTTCTTCAGTACAGATATAATGTCCAAAAGTTTATATCATACCTTTATTCTTTTTTATGTTTTCTGATAAACTTGATGGGATTCGTTGCATTAAAACAATTTGACTTAAACTCAACATACCAAATTACCTGCGCCTTCTCTAAGATGTCATTTTTCATTTTACTGACAACAGCTTCGCGAAGATGCTATAGAGGACAGTGGAAAACTTCAGAACTTAGAAAGGGAAACTTAGAAAGATAAATAATGAAAATCTGTGATAACATCACTTGAGATAACATCACTTATTATTTTTTGCATTAGAATTAGAGGATTTTAAACAGGACTTTGTATATTAAATATGTAATAATAATATGTATGGTATATGTTTTAGGAAGCAGAAACAATGCACTTGAAAGCTATTAACATCAAAGAAGAATTATTAGGACCTGATGATTACGAAGTAGGTTTGAGTATAGGACATTTAGCTTCTTTATATAATTTTCATATGGGACGATACAGAGATGCTGAAAAACTTTACCATCGTAGCATCGCGATCAGTAAGTCATCAATAAGGCATCATGTTTTTAATTGAGTTTATTATGATATGTCATCATATTCTGTCATAAACTGTTTTGACAGGCTTGAAGTTATTTGGAAAAGGCTACAGTGGCTTAGAATACGATTATCGAGGACTCTTACACGTGTACTCTAAACTAGATGATTACGAAAAAATAATGGAATATACAGACATACTGAATGATTGGAGGGACCTTAGAGACAGACACGCTCAATCTGAGGAACCACCGATTGATATACAAAAACATCCACAGCCAATTGCAAACGTAATGAATGTGTTCTTTTCTATGTGATATATCAATAAGTCTATGTGTAATTGAGATTTTGTCATTGTACGTCATCAAACTTGTTGGTCCCTGTTACGTTTACATTGGACCAAAGTAGGAAAAAAAAAAATTTCTTTTTTCTTACTTTAGCTCAATGTCTTATAAACACAAAACACATAAGCCAATTATAATTATCAATTGTACAATCAGATCATAATTTACAAATTCTAATCTTAAGTCATAAATCATAATGTGTACAATTGTTAATTATATTGTCTTATAGCAATATTTTATAATGTGTGAGTAGACTCAATATTACTAAGAATTGACAACATGATATTAATTGATCAAGTGATCTAATATTCAAATATGTTAATTCAAAACTGTTAATTCACAACTGTTAATTTAAATCTCTCTAAATTATTGTTAATAATGCTTGTATGTTAGAAAGGCTTTGAAAGAAAGGCTTTGTTTTAGTGCCATTCTACAATAAGCCATAAGTGATAAATCAGAAAATAAGAATTGATCAATCATAATCGAGTATTCTTATATTCAATTGGTCAATTCTTAGTTTCTGACTTATGATCTATTACTAATAGCTTATTGTAGAAAGCCTATTAGTTTGCAATGCTTGTGTTGAATTATTAAAATCAATGTTTATCTTCTATCTCGATGTATCTCAAAGATTTTTGCGCATAAAAAATATATCTTTTTTAAATATTTTGTATTTATATATATATATATATCATTTTAATATGAATTCTCCAGTACTTTGTATATATATTTGTAGATACACATGCACACACACACACACGCACACACCACACACCACATAGACATATATATTTTATACTTTGCTATTCTTCATTAGTTGATGACCTTATTTAAAAAAAAAAAAGTTTATGATAATATTTTTGTTCTTATTACGACTGTTTACCATGTTTGTGGTACACTTCCAATATATGCTAATTTGAAGATTACAATGACTATAAGTTTCCATGCAACGCATGATTTTTATGTAATAAAATATTCAAAATACATGCGCCTGTGTTTATAATAATGATGTAATTAAAGAGATATATAAGTATTAAAACAATTAAAACTTTATGAACAATTTGATGCACAAATGTTTTGCTATTTGAAAAATTTACCTTCTCACTTTGTGAAATTTAATATTTAAATATTTAGAAATATATTCTATATACATATATCTTATAATTTTTCTTCAGCTTAATTTTTGTTCTTGTATAAATACAACAGAATACAAATAATTAAAAACTACAAGCGCGCATCCTTGGTTTGTCCTAGAGATATTTTGAGACAATGAATTTTTCATAGCTTATGCTAATTATTTACATATCATTCTCAGATTTGTCAATCTTTAAAAAATTTAGACACTTTAGATTAAATATTGAACAATGAAATAATATCCATTGCTTCATCTATTGTAATTTATAAATGATTGAATAGATAATATCTTTAATAAATTTATATAATAAAGTAATAAAAGAACTCAAGGAGTAATTGACAATGCCTAATTTATTTATATGGCAATATTGTACAAACTAAATTGATATCTGATTCTTAATTTAAACATAAATAAATTACATGTTGTCAACTGCATCTTAAGTTCTTATTGCCTTTATATTGTCATTAACAATTGTATAGTTAGAAAGAGAGAGACGAGAGAGCTAACAGTCGTAAGATAAACAAATATAAATTCTATTTTGTTTGATCAACAATTAAGTCACACAAATCAAATTTTTTATGTTGAATTGTGCAAAAAATAAGATTAAACAAACAAAAAAATTTTTCTATATATTTGTGAACAAAAAAGATGTTTATTTCTCCATAGATTTGCAAAGTTTTCAATTAAATATTTGAGAAATTCATAATATTAAAATAAAGACAAGACAATGTAATATAAATACTCATGATATTTCTTCTGGATAACTCACATACATTCAAAAGCTTTAATCTGTTTAAATTACAATAACCATTAGATAATACACATAACTTTATATTTACACAATATTTGTTGTATCACTCCGGTTTTCAGGTAGTAGGAATCTTATCTAAATTCCATTTTTACGCTATCAACATTTCTAACTCTCTCTCTAGAAATAAAAGAGAGTTATCGTTAACCGACTTGATGATCGGTATATTTTTTTGAAACGTATTAATCAGCGAGGGTATTATTACCGAACTCTGACACTGTACGTTTCATTAAACTGCGATTAAAATCTCGTAACTTTAGAACATTTAATCAGGTGTATGTGGAGGTTCTTGGCTGAAGTATGGTGCAGTATCTTGCACTAATAAAGTATGACAAACATCACAGACTCTGGATGGTCTTTGTTTCGGCCCACTGTTCACAACGTGCGAGAGACAAGACTGACAAAATATATGGCCACAGTGACGACAATGCACCTGCATGAAATTTAACGTAAGGTTTATTTTTTTTTTTAATTATATCACAGATTGCTGTAGAATTTAGTTCGCGCTTTAATTTACCTTTTTTTTGTAACCGAAAATGTAGTATGGCAACTAGGACACTCATCGACATCCTCTTCATGTTGCCATCTCACTTCGCTACCCGCCTGTCTAATTCTTTCCAATTGTACCTATAGGATCAAAATTAAATTATTTTTACAGACCTATGTTTCACAGCTTTATGTATAGTTTCTAATATAATTTTATGTCTACAAGTTTCTTGAACAATTATGACTTAAGTCTTTGTTTGCATTATTTTATTACCTGTAATGATTGTGATAATCTAACAAAGTCTTTCTGTACTGCCTCACTAGTATCCAATTCCTGTTGTAAACTCATAACTCTTTGTCGTAATTCCGTTATTGCCGAGTCTGCATCCTTTTTTCTTTTTGAATTTCTTGTAACTGTTTTTCCAGTCGATCAAGCTTCTCTTCTTTATCAGCAAGGATACGATGATCTCTTATATATTTATCTAATTGCGCTCTACAAGTTATCAAACATAAAAAAGATTTGTATTAAGTTATGATAATCATGATTGATAATTTTGCTGTCATTCAATATATAACTGCTTACCTCAATCCGCTTATTTCATTCTTTAACACAGCATTATCTTGTTCTTTTACCCTATTCTCTTGTTCCATTTGTTCTCTCAGAAGTGTAACTTCATACCGTAGCGTCTCTTCCTTCTCTTGTGCAACTTCCTGAGCTACTTTCGCTGTAATTAAATCTTCGCGTACTTTTAACAGGCTCATATGCAATTCCTCAACAGTATTTGGCATGTTAATGCTCTCGCTTTGAAGTTGTTGTGAATGTTTGCTATGTTTACCCACAAGATTTTCATTCTCCATTTGAAGCCTGCAAATATATCGCGAAATCTTGAATCAAGCTTTATCAAAACATATAAATGCAACATTC